ACCAATGCAGAGAAATAGGAAGAACAAGAGACTTCTTCTATAAGATCTCAGAAATCAAAGAGAAATTTAAAACAAGAGTGGGGGTGTTATACCAGCATGGGAACATTTACATGACCAAGTAGAAATAAAAAGCTGATGGAAACAATACATTTGAGAACTATATATAATAAATGAAAGGGTGACATATTCATTCAAGGAAGAACCATTTGAAGATGAACTTATAATTTTAAAAAGTAAAATAGAACATGCACTCAGAGCGCTTGGAAGAAATAAATCATCAGGAACTGATGGCATACCAACAGAACTGCTTCAGGCTGTAGAGATGTAACTCTTTTATTTCTAACTGAAATTTGTCAACAAATAGGGAAAACAAAAGCATGGACCACAGATTGGAATCACCTCATGTACATTCCAATCTCCAATAAAGAGGACAACGGAGATTGCAGTACCACAGGACCATTGCAATAATCTCTCATGCAAGCAAAATGATGCTCATAATTCTACAACAAAGACTTTTACCATATATGGAGCAAGAAAGGCAACATTTCCAAACTGCAGCCAGGAAAGGAAGAGGCACTAGGGAGCATATTGCAAACATGTTGGATAATGGAGTATATCAAAGAATTTCAGAAGAAAATCAGCCTGTGTTTTATAGATTATAGCAAAGCCTTTGATTGTATGGATCATGAAAAATTATAGATCACTCTTAAAGAAATAGATGTGCCACAACATTTGATTATCCTGATGCATAATCTGTGCCCAGGACAAGAGGCTACCATTAGGTCAGGATACAGAGAAATGGAATTGAATGGCAAGGGAGTCAGGCAAGGCTGCATTTTATCCCTCGTCTGTTTAACTTGCAACCATAGAATAATGGAAGAGACAACAAAGGCCATCCATTCAAATGCCCTGCCCTGCAGGAAGACACAATCAAAGCACTGCCAACAGATAGCCATCCAGCTTCTTTAAAAACTTCCAAAGAAGGAAACCCTACCACACTGTTCAACAGTGGAATATGCTGCCTCACAGTGTGGTGGGGTCTCCTTTTTTGGACATTTTTAAAGAAGCTGGATGGCCATCTGTTGGCAGTGCTTTGATTGTGTCTTCCTGCAGGGCAGGGTATTGGACTGGATGGCCTTTGTGGTCTCTTCCATTATTCTATGGTTACAGGTGGAATCTAAATATTATGCTGAACATATATACATATCATGTACACTGAACATATACTGTGCTATGTTTCATTGTTTTATTGTTTTATTAT